GAGAATCTTTGTTTTCTTGATGTTGAGCTTCAATCCATACAGGAGGCTGCAGTCCTTGACCTTCTGCAGCAAGCGCTTCAGGTCCTCAGTTTGAGCGAGCCGGGTTGTGTCACTTTGTACAGCTCAGCATCTCGGATGATCTGTTCTGCATACAGATTGAAAAGGTATGGAGACAGAATACATCTCTGACAGACACCCTTCTTGATTTTGAACCATGTAGTGTCTCCTTGCTCTGTTCTGATGACTGCCTCTTGGTCCAAGTATAGGTTTTGCATTAGCACAAATCAAATGTTTTGGGATTCCCATTCTTCTCAGAGTTCCCATTCTTCTCAGAGTCAGTCACAGCTTGTTGTGATACACACAGTCAAAAGCCTTTGCATAGTCAATGAAGCACAGATACACATTCTTCTGGTATTCTTTTTTTTCTGCCAAGATCCATCTAACATTAGCTATAATATCCCTAGTACCATGACCTCTTCTAAATCCAGCCTGTACATCTGGCAGTTCTCTGTTGACATATTGTTCCAAACGTTTTTGGATAATTTTCAGCAGAATCTTGCTTGCATGTGATATTAATGATATTGTTCGATAATTTCCACACTCTGTTGTGTCACTTCTCTTTGGAATGGGAACAAATATCGATCTTTTCCAGTCATTGGGCCAGCTGGCTGTTCTCCAGATTTCTTGGCACATCTTAGTGAGCACATCCAGGGCAGTGTCTGTTGGTATGACGTCAACTCCTGGAGCCTTGTTTTTTGCCAGTTCCTTCAGAGCCATTTGAACTTCCTCCTTCATCACCATATTTGTTGTTGTTTTATATAATACATTTTAAAAGTTTATTATTGATTTGCCTCACCAGCCTGTTTATTTTGGTACTGCTAATGGATGAGCCTAGTGGTTTTTATTTTACTTTTTTATGTGCTTTTCATGGATTCTTGGTTTCTGAAAGTTGCCCAAGATACATAATTCAAATATGGAAAAATCCTAGAATGGGCAGTTGGATCCTACATAGTAACTATGCAGTGATTAAAATAATTGTATGTTAAGTAGGTATGTTAAAACTAGACATTAAAAATGAAATGAATACCTGCCATTTCTATGTATTATATTCTATATATTGTAATTGTCTATACATGTATTATATATTTAATTTTTCAGTAAAAAAGTCATTTTTAAGTTATAACAAAACCATCTGGGGCCCTTTGGAACTGGTGGAGAAGGTGTATCCAGAAGCAGAAGAAATAGGAGCCAGTGTGCGTGATTTACCAGGTCTTAAGTAAGTAATCTGTAACTTAACCATCCCTAACCATAGGCCTGCATTTACTATTCCTCCTAAGTACTGAACACCCTAGTTTATACTAATCTTCAGCTTTATACACCTGTACCCTTCTTCCATTCTCACGCCTAATAAAATTCTGTTTCTTCTCTGTAATAGCTTAAGTTGCATGTATTCTAAAGCTTTTCTTGGGTCACCTCAGTGAAACATTCTGTCCGTTATACAATGGAATTGACAACTGATTTAGCATGTGATAGGAGAACCACTATCTTGACTGTCCCGTTAGCCTCACATTGGGAAAGCTGAGAAAGAGTAACATAACCAATAGCAGCTGGTAGAGAGCAAAAATCCCACCATCATGGCTAAGGAGTGGATCTCTCCTGGATATTGGTCCTTGAGTGAACCAGTTCAGTTTGCTGCAGCTATTTACAGGCCACCATGTAGATCTTGATGTATATTTGCAGTATGATAAGGAGTGAGGGCAGAACACATCCAAAGAAATTGGAATATACCATGTGGCTCGTGGGGACCATGTCAAGGCAGAAGCTTTTGTTCACGGTTCCATGCCAGGATTCTGCAGTTGGTAGTACAGACTTTGCTGTTCCATCCCAGAAATGAAGTCAGTCCACTGCCAAAGGCAAGGACCTAGAGGACAACAGTGACAGAGGATAAGAGTGACCAAATTCTTATACCTGTGTGGGAGGTGGATGGCCAGGTATGTGTCCACAGCCACAGCTAGGACACTAAAGATAGAGCTCTGTGTGTACACAAGTAGGAAGTGGGCAAGGAAGAGACCGCTGTGGAAGTTGGTGCAGAAGCCCAGGCTGATCATGATAGCAGAAGGATGACAAACAGCCCCATGGCCACATTGGCTACTACCAAGGACACCAGGAAGAAAGAAGTTGGTGGGCATCCTCAGCACACTCAGTGTGCCCACCACAGCACACACCAACCAGCACTATGCTGGCTACTGACACCTGGCAATGGCCAGGTCCAGCCCCACATATAGCACATCTTGTGTTTCCAGCTCCATGGCTGGACCCACACATCACCTACTGAGGCTGGACGGTGCAGGACAGCTGCTTGGGCCCCGTAGGTCATGGCCTATGCCCGGGACTGTGCGTCCTGTGCCCAGGACCTTGTGCCCTGTGCCTGGGACATAAGGAGATAAGATTGATGGCACCCAATGGTGATGCTTTTACAAAGAGAGAGGAGAAAGGGGATTTAGTTTCAAAAAGACATACCAGGTTGTTTCATTTTGATATAAAAATAATGCATATTTATAACAAAAGAAAAAACTAATTCTGTAAATGTAAATTTTCTGAAGAATGATGTCAGTTAAAATCTTAAGCTGTGAGAATTGAGCTGTTGGAGAGTAAGATTCTTTCTATGTCACCTGTTAAAAAAGTGTTCTCTTTATAGAAAACAGTCCTTCACAAAAATGTTTTCCTCTTCTATAATAAGATATTGCATATATCCTAAAACATGCTTGTTTGCACAGAATGATAGAATTTTATTAAAAGAGGCATGCAATTTAATTTTTTAGGTGCAACTAGATTAAAAAACCCTTTGAAAAAATATAATGGTGGTTTTTTTAAAAAATAACAATTTTGTACCTTAGCTTTGTTAAGATTTTTCAAATTCATGCTTATTCCTTAAAGATATTCTATTGTCTTATACATACATTTACATGTTTATTTTAGAGAAGATGTGTGAGGGTTGTATCCTTTCTCCATACCTATTCAACCTGTATGCTGAGCCAATCGTTCAAGAAGCTGGACTCTGTGAAGAAGAATGTGGCATCAGGATTGGAGGAAGACTCATCAACAGCCTGCACTATGCAAACGATCCAACTTTGTATGCGGAAAGTCAGTAGGATTTGAATCGCTTGCTGCAGAAGATCAAAGACTATAGTCATTAATACAGTCTTTAACAACATCAAGATGACAAAAATCTTTTCCATTAGACCTATAAGCAACCTCATGATAGAGGGAGAAAATATTGAAATAGTCAACGATTTTCTCTTACTTGGATCAACAGTCAACATCGTTGGTACCAGCAGTCAGGAGAGCAGGAGACATACTGCATTGGGCAAGTCTGCTCATGGGTCAGTGATGTCAGGCTGAAGAATAAGGTGCACCTGAGTCCGGCCTTGGTCTTTTGTATCACTTGGTATGCATCTGAGAACTGGACAGGATGACTAAAGAATTGATGCCTTTCATGTGTGGTGGTGGAAAAGAGTACTGAATATCCCATGGACTGCCTACAGAACAAACAACTGTGTCTTGGAGAAAGTGCAGCTAGAGTGCTTCTTGTAGGCAGAGATGACAAAAAGTTATCTCACACACTTTGGGCATGTTGCGAGAAGAAGCCCTTCCTTGAAGAGAGACATCATGTTTGGAAAGGTCAATGAGGGAAGACCCTCAATGAGATGGATTGACATAATGACTACAGCAGCAGGCTCAAGTGTGTTCAGATGATGAGGATGGCACAGGATAGGGCAGAGTTCATAGGGTCACTGTGAGTCGTACTTGGCTGGATGGCACCTAACAACAAAAGCAATATTCTGACAAAATGGATTTTTTTAAGAAATAAAGTCATTATTTAGAGAGTCATACTTTCAAGGCATAAAAATGTTACCTGGGTGACTGTGTCCTTATACCTATAGGTACATTGGTTTGTGTCCTAAAGGAACTGACTTAAAATGATTAAAATGAAAATAAAACTATATGATAAAATGCCCCTTTTAAAATCAGTATGTAGCTCAGCAGAAATAAGACATACGGTTTGTAATTTTTAGGGCTGGAACTGTTTTCTAACAACTGACTCTTTCTAGGACACCCCTAGGTCGTGCCAGGGCATGGCTTCGACTGGCTCTCATGCAGAAAAAAATGGCTGATTACCTGCGCTGCTTAATTATTCAGAAGGATCTCTTAAGGTTAGTACCATTAAACCATGTTTATTTTCATTTTCAGTTCATTTATTTCCTGTATTTCAAAAAAGATTTGCAGACATAACACAAAAATATGTATGGAAGACAGATCATTTAAAAAGGAGAAACAAATACTTGGTGTGAGCATACATAACCTGAATCCAGAAATAACCTAAAAATTAGTACCAAGATTGCTATTAAAAAAAAAAAAAAGCTAAGGAAAGGTTTACAAACAGAATCATTCTTGGTTGGTTACTAGGGATGGGAAGGAAGTGAAAATTAATAAAAAGATGCTGAGGGAAGGGAAAGGCAGTATATTTTTATCAGATACTGTGATTAATTAATTACATTAATAATTTGTAATGAATGTTGTAAAATAATATGTATATGAGTTGAATTATAATTACAGTACTGTAAAACACTATAGATCTGATCAAATTAAAAACCAAAATGATTTGTATACTTTTACTGAAAAGAAAATTTTTTTTCATTTTCTCACTTCAGTCTTTATTTTAAAGCTGTTATTTATAATTCAACTCTAATAAAATTATCAGGTCAGCACCATTTACTATGTTCTTCTAAAGTTAAAAATACTCTAATCTTAAGCAATGCTTTTTTCCTTTTGGTATCGCTTCTCTTTTTTCTCTCATTCACATTTCTTTTTCATATTTTGTCTTTTCCAGTTCTTTTATTTTTAACAATATTAAACATATTCTCTGTAAATGTTAAAAAAATCACAATTAGAAGAAAATTTTACTTCAAATTTTTTTTTAAAGTCAAATATTTGCATGTAGAAAGGCTAATTTATAGTTAACTCACTTGGTTGGTACCAGCAATTACTTCTGAGATTTTTTTTTAAATATTTTTTTTTTATTGGGAAAACATATTCGGGGTACAAGGAGGTGAGGGTTGGGGGCAGAAGGGTGAGGATGGGCCAGGATGCAGTTGCAGAGCTGAACAGTTTGGTCGGTGGGGGGAGCAGGTGAAGGAAATGATGAGGGTCCAGAGGGGACCAGATGCTACAGAGGAATGACAAGCATTTTCCAATAGTAATTAAATCAACTGTCTTATTGATTTGGGAATTGGATGCCGACTCTCTGGCTTCTTCATGTTGAACAGGGGCGTAGATATAAAGGGGGGAAGGGAGGATGCTTTATCACCTTACTGGTGGTCTTGGGTTACAGCTGCTTGCCTTCTTGCTCCTGAGGGCCGTGACGGTTCGCCCCGAGCCGGGGGCCAAGCGCAGCCCACCCTGGGCAGAAGGCCATGACGGCTCGCCCCGGGCAGAGGGCCGAGGGCAGCCCGCCCCGGGCAGAGGGCCGCGACGGCTCGCCCTGGGCCGGGGGCTGAGGGCAGCCCGCTTGCTGAGATTTTTAAAATTTAATTTTTGCTGTACATTTGTGTCTTAAAGGTTTATTTGTTTTAATTTTCACAGTGAATTCTATGAGCATCATGCACTGATGATGGAAGAAGAAGGAGCAGTAATTGTTGGGCTGCTGGTTGGCCTGAATGTAATAGATGCTAATCTGTGTGTAAAGGGAGAAGATTTAGATTCCCAGGTAAGTGAAAGTGGTTAGTACTCACTGCAGCTGTTGTCTGCTTGTTGGGATAGCTGGTCTTTGATCTAATAACCACTCTAAGTTGTAGAGAGTGCTATTGAACACTAGATAAAATTTGGAAATGCAGTCGAGTGCATTTTAAAGTTACTTTTGATAAAGGAAGGAGCATTAGTAATATAGCATGGACTCTATCGGGTTACTCACAGTATTTTGGAATCCACTGGCTACTCCTTCAGAAGGGATGAATAATCTTTGTTGTGATTCACTACCTTGAAAACTCAATGTAGGGTCAGTAGGAGTAGAACTGACTAACGGGAAGTGGTTTTTGATGAAGTAATATTTTCTGCCTTTTAAATAAGAATAACTTTATTTACATCAGGTTGGAGTGATTGATTTTTCCATGTATTTAAAGAATGAAGAAGATATTGGAAATAAAGAAAGGTATGGTTTTCTTAAGTTGCTTTTTTTTCCACTTGTATTAACTTATCACTGTGGGATCCACCCATTTACAATGTGAAAGTTCTTCCCCTGGTAGTACCTGCTTTCTTCTATTTCCATTTCTAAAACGCAAGTTAGGGATGATCACTTAGAAGAAGCAGGCCTTAATATTAAGTAAGACTTTTGGTCACACAGTATATCCATATCCTGAGACTTAACAGTCAGCTGTATTTTGTGATAAAAGAAATGAAAGCTCATTATTCTACAAGCATAAAGATGCTGTTATTTTTTTTAATTTTTTTATTTTATTACTTTTTGTGTGTGTGCCATCAAATTGGATCTGACTGGTACAGGAGAAGATTGTCCCTCCTTCTCCAGCAGAGCATCTAGAGGATTCGAACCGCTTATCTCTGGGATTGCAGTGCAGCTTCTTGCCACTAGGCCACCAGATCTCCCCTAAGATGCTGTTTTATTTCAAGATATAGTTACTATTAAATTTAAAATATACTGTAATTATATTGTTAGTATTACCAAGTTAATCAATAAAGGTTATTGTCATTTAGTATATAGCTTACTGCTAAATGATTATAAAAATTACTTGATTTTTTTAAAGGGCTGGATATTGTTATAATTATGACTGAAACAGTTTTAAGTGATTTTTGGTTTTGTTATGTCAGTGTATTGCATCTTGTCAAACTACCATAAAGTGGCTTTATTTTCTTTCTAGGAATGTTCAAATTGCTGCTATATTAGACCAGAAAAATTATGTTGAAGAGTTAAATCGACAACTGAAGTAAGTGTTAACGGATACCTGGCAAATTCCTGAATATTACTTGAATCTTTTTTCTTTCTTCAGATCTTGATTAATCCTTTTTTTCTATGAGTCTTTCAGAAAGGCTTGAGAGGATATTGAGAAAACAGAAATAAGGAATTTAAAAGTTTTGATAGAATTTTAAACTATTCTTGAGGAAAAGAAGACTCAATAGGGTGGGAATTTTAAAGCATTTGGATGGTTCAAAAATTAGTTTTGCTTATTTCAAAGAACTTTTTGTGTAAATAAAGCTGTCATCTTTCATGGTAGAAATCTCCTTTTTATAGTGTTGCCTGATCACTTTAAACCATTGGAGTAAACACTCTTATATAATAGCATTTCTGAGATCTGAATGTAAAAATAGTGTGGTTATGCCCAATAGAAATATTATGTACGACACAGAAGTAGGATTGTCTAGCAGCCATATTTTGTAGTGGAAAATAGGTAAAGAGGAACAAGTGAAATTTTTATAATGTATTTTATTCACCCTATATTAAAATAATTGCTATTTTGACGTATAATCAGTATTAAAGATTATAAGTGAGGGGAAAAAACCATTATTGGTGAAATACTGTACTCTGTTTTTGTTTGTACTAATTCTTCAAAGCCCAGTGGACATTATAAATTTACATCACAGTTTACTTTAGACTGGCCACATTTCAAGTACTCAGTAGTCACATAGGGCTCATGGCTACTCTACTAACCACTGTAGCTATTATGAATTGTATTTGCCGTATAGTTAAAGATGGTCTTTCTCATTCATTAAATTTCTCACAAAAACTTCATTGCTGACAAGTTGGAACCACCTTATAGCTGACTTGTGGTATGGGATTTTCAGAGGTTGTAAATCACATGGGAGGAGAATGCCCATCTTTCTCCTGTAGAGCCCCTGGTAGATTCAAACCATGAGGGAGATGCCACCTTTGCGTTGGCATTGCAACTCCCACAGATTAGGCCACCAGTGCTCCCTCTTAATTAAAAAAGTTAGTTTCTCTGGGTGATTGGATTATAGGTTGTTTTTATTTTATTCTCCATGTTTTTCTGTATTTTTCAAGTTTTACTCCAAAATGAATTACTTTCTTATTTTTTTTATTCATTACTTTTACAGTCAACAGATATGATCAAACTTTTCCATTTAGAAAAAAAACTTGTTAACTTTCTAAGATTGTAAGAGATAGGAAAGACTGCATCAGGGTCTTTTTTTTAGACCATGGAGTTTTAATAAAGATATCATGGGAAATGTATTTGCAATTTAAAATTTTAACTCCTAAATTTATGTTTCTAAACCCAAAGCATCCTTGCTTACTTATTTTAAACTTTTAGTTTTTTTTGAACAGATCATATGTTAACATGGTTCAAACTTCATAAGGTACAAAAAAAGAATTTAGAGTAAAGTATCTTTTCCCTGAATTCAACCAGTTTCCCATTTCAGAAGTAACTAATAAAATTTTTAATGTGCTTCCAGAGTTACTTTATAGAAATTAGCAAGAATATATGTGTGTGCTTTCACCTGTAACATAGCATACTTTTTCACTATTCTGTACTGTACTTTTTTTACTCAACAAACAGTTTATCTTAGAGTCTGTTTTGTTTGGTTCAGTAGAACTTTCTCATTCTCAGTCTTTTAAATTATAAGTATTAATTAGTTATGATAGTGCTAATGCCTTATACTTTTTGAAGATGCTTCAATATTGGTTTTATTTCCTAATTAGAGTTTTTGTACATTTAAATGTTTGGAAAGTGTCGAAAGTGGATAAAGGAGACAATAGAATGCAGCTATCTTCCTGTCACTAAAAGAGAATCCCTCCTGAGAGTTTATTGCTCATTATATTATTTATTATTTTTATTATTTTATTGATCCTCATGTAATTGCAAGGTAAATGTTATTGTCTAGTTTTATAGACAAAGAAACTCAGAAAAGTTTTTATTAAATTTTGTATTTTTATTTAAGAAACTTTTTTTTGTTTTTTTGAAAAGTTTTATAACTGTATGATCATATAGTTAGAAAAGCAGAAACAACAGACCCATCTCTATTTCCATCAGGATTCCTGGTGCTATTTGTGGGAAAACGTCAAATTGTGGCTTATTTCCTTAAAAAAACCAACTCCAGACCAAATTCAGACTTCTTGCCATCTAGTCAGACTGACTAATAGCCAACTGTCTAGGTGTGTTTCTGAGGCAGTGAATCTCATTGAAAGAGATTACACATTTTTCAGAGCCTCTGGTGGGCTTGAACTGCAGGTGGATTTGAACCACTGGAGAGCCGGGGCCTTTGGGTTAGGAGTGCAACTTCCTAAGGACCATGCTGTTACCTGAGAATCACTGTATTAAAAATTATTTCATATAAGGGGAAAAACATTTTTCTTATTTTACCTATTCAACTTAATTGTTAATATGTATTTCTGATACGGGTATAAAATTTGTATCTGCTATCGATTTTAACTGAGATTAATATATTACATTTTAGTAGAAAAAGCTTGAGATGGTAGTGTCTAAGAGTCTTTGAATAACAGATTGCATTAACATTTATAATATGCTAATATCCAGTCTTTATTTGCCCTTGCAGTGTTTTTTTAAATTTTACACTAGTTCACCTACAAAGTTCATATACATTGCCCCTCACACCGAATCCCCCCTATCTCCCAACCCATCCCCTAATATCCAGTCTTGATCTCTTAAAAAAAAATGCAAAATCCATATTTGTCGAGGCAGGATAACTTTTAACTCTATCCTGAAAGATTGGATATTTGCTTAGCTGCAGACTGGCCTCATGCTGTTGAATGTCATATTTCTCAAATCTGTGTTGATTTTGGAGGTCTTCTAGTTATTATAAAAGTGTTGTTGTTATATGTTGTCGAGTCGCCTACAACTCATAGTGACCCTATGTACAACAGCCCTAAAATCCTGCTTTATCATGTGCCAATCTCACTGTCTCCGACGCACCTAACCTCACTATCCCAGTCACTGAATCAGTCTACCTCCTAGAGGATCTTCCTCTCCTTTCCTGTCCCTACATCCTCCCAAGCATGATGTCCTTCTCCAAGGCCTGGTCCCTCATTGCAACATGTCCAAAGTATGTCAGACAATGCCTCAGAAACTTTGCCTCCAAGGAGCAGCCTCTCCAGTATGAACCTATTTGCTTTCTTAGCAGTCCATGGTATATTCAATACTTTTCTCCAACTCCACAGCTCAGAGGCATCAATTCTGCTTCTATCCTCCCTAGGTATTGTCCAACTCTCTGATGCATAACAAGTGATTGCAAAGACCATGGCCTGCATCAATTATCTTTCTATCCTCCCTAGGTATTGTCCAACTCTCTGATGCATAGCAAGTGATTTCAAAGACCATGGCCTGTATCAGGCACACCTTAGTCTCCAGTGTGACACCATTTCTCTTCAGTACTTTGGAGAGGTCCCCAAGAGCAGACTTCCCATTGTAATACATCTTTTTAAAGGGAAAACAGAATAAAGCTTGAGTTCAGTACTATTCTTTACATGCTTCATCAGACTGCTTAATTAGAAAGTGGACATTTAAAGTTCATTCCATAAAAAATGATTTTAATGCATTTTCATAATACAGTCTTCTTTGTATAGAATTTTCATTCCTAAATATAAGTTAAATGTAAGAATCCTAAAAAAGACAATAAGACAGTAACAAATAATGAACAGCAACAAATGGAACTTGAATAGAAATGTTTATTTTATTGCTATAGTCTAATGCTCTCATGGCTAAATGAAGTTTCCAGGCAGTTAGACATTTTTAGGGTAACCACATGGCAGTTGATGCATAATGACTGTCGTAATGAGTGTAGGGTAACTTAAGCTTGCGTCTGTGAGTTTGTGTAATTTTGAATGAGTTTCTCTTTATTAATTTCAGCAGCACAGTCAGCAGGCTTCACTCAAGAATTGATTCATTAGAGCATTCAAATACTAAGCTGATTCAAGAGGTATTGTCACTTAGTAGTATTTGCTGTCTTTCATGGACTTACTTTTTGTGATCCTTTTTCATATCAATATATAGATTCATATTTGCATATAACATCGTGATGAAGTATCTGTGATGTCATTGTAATTGATGTTTTTAAGTTCCAGAGATACATATTTTTCAAGGTGGATTCTCAGTTATGTGACTTTTAGGTCCTTGCTGTATTTGAGAGACTCAACTTCTAGAGATGAGTTTTAGAGATAAAGCTAGTATAAACTGTCTGTAGATATACTGAAATTCTAATTTATGAATCTAGATGATCTGCACTTAAATGGTGGAGTCATTTAGAGTTCTAAGCTGCTATTAGAATGGTGTCATCCTGTTGTTCTACAAATTGCTTTTCTTTAAAACATCACCATGATTCCACTTTTTCCCTTCCCTCCCGTGTATAAAGAATACAAGAATATGCTCCAATTTCTTGCTTAAAGTGATTATCACAAGGAGCTCATTTAAAGAAGAGCCGGAGATTTATTTCTGCTCTCTTTTTAATATGGTTTGTAAAACTGCTTTTTGGTAATTTTTAAAAAAACTGTCAAACCATAGAATTATAGCTTTATATTTTTCTAAGGTTACTTCGGCTAAAGGGAGAAGTCGATTTTTAATGCTGTGGATTCTATTTACCATGTAAATAAAAATTTGTATTTCTTTTAGAACTAGTTTGTAATTTCCAAAACATTAAGAACATGCTAAAAAACACCACCATCATCCCACTGTTGTAGAGTTGGAACTGATTCAGTGCTGACTGTCCACTGGGTTTCCTGAGGCTAAAAATCACACAGGTGGATAGTGCCCACTTTTCTCCTGTGGAGAAGCTGGTAGATTCAGACGACCTGTACATGGGTTGGCAGTGCAGTTTCCTGTCCACGAGGCCACCAGAGCTCCCAGAATATTTGAATAATTGCAGTTAAGAGTATATCTGCATTTTGGTGGTTGAATTCTTCACTGAAACCTTTCTAGAACTGCACACCCATTTGCGTCTTTTCTTAGCCTTAGTCAAATGATGACGTGTAAGTTGTTTTTTCAGCAATTTGTTCATGGTCACCTAGCATTCCTGCGTGGTCCTTGAGTTTTGCTTTCTTAGAATTCTTGTCATTCATTTTGGGCCTCAGAGCCAAGCCACTTAGTCAGCCATTCCTATGCTTAGTTCTCGTGGGGAGAGTGGTCTTGTATTTGTTATGGCCCCTCCAAGTGCCAGTTGCATACCTAGATTTCACACAGTGTCCTCATTGGTTACCATGAGCTTCTCTGTTACATTCTCAGTAGCAGCACAGCCTTCGTTCCTTATAGTTCTTCTTTAAAAATGTTTCCAAAGTCTTACTGTTTAACAAATCATTATTTATACCCTTACTCAAATACTTACGTATTATAAATCAAATAAGCATAAACATTTAGACTACCAAAGGAAGTAGTAGAAATAAGATTGTCCTTTCTTTGAGATAATAAAAAGCACTTTTTTTATATGAGAGACATTTTAGTAGTATTAGACATTTTACTGATTTTATTGTCTACTTTATCTACTATATAGCACTTCATGTTCAAAGTCTTTTTTTCCCCTTGCCCTGTCTTGTAATTTATAGTTAGCAATAGCAAAGAATAATATCATTAAGCTCCAAGAAGAAAATCATCAATTGCGAAGTCTTAATAACTTGATATTAATGAGAACACAGCATCATTTAGAGGTAAGCATAGATTGTTTTCAGATAGTTGTATGTCAGAAATGACCACTGTTAAAGATGATTGTATAGACTAGATGTTTCTATACTCAGTATATAATAGTGATTATAGAATAAAGCTTGATATTTTCTTCCTAGGTGACCAAAGTAGATGTGGAGACAGAGCTTCAGACATACAAGCACTCACGTCAGGGGCTGGATGAAATGTACACAGAAGCTCAAAGGCAGCTTCGGGATGAATCTCAGTTGCGACAAGTGGGTCACATGAAAGCCCCAGTAACTGAATTCTGGGAATAATTTAAATAAGCACCAATTAAAATCTTTTCCAGCCTTATCTTCTTTGGAATGAGAAAGCAAATCTACCCTCTTTAATCCCCTCAAATTCTTTAAATTCCCACTATATCTAATGTTTTGGAAGCAGGAGAGGCATCCACTTCCCAAACAACATGCCTCCAGAAACGATGAACTTTGAGAAAAGCCGATGGTTGTAAAGGGGCTTCAGGCATTTTGTTCATAGGATTGCTGAGTTGTCCTCGACTCGAAGGCAGTCAGCAACAACAGCATATCTATTTTTAGGGAACTCTGGTGGCCAAGTGGTAAGAAGCTACGTTGTAATCCCAAAGGCACACGGTTTGAATCCACCAGCTGCTCCGAGGGAGGATGGGCAGTTTTCTTCCTCCCATGTAATTTACTGCCTCTGAAAACCCTCTGGAGGGTCAGCTATGGGTCAGTTCCGACTTGACTTGGGGGTGTACAACAATATCTGGCTTTTTAGCTGTGGGTTACAGTCTGGTCATGAAGTGAATAAGTTGTGATTAGCTAGGGGGAAAAATGAGAATATTGTAAAATACTTTATTATTATTATTCTTGTGTGTGTATACGTCACATTGTATCTGACTGGTACAGGAGGAGATTGTCCCTCCTTCTCCATCAGAGCACCTGGTGGATTCAAACCACGCACCTCTGGGAGAGAATATTATAAAATACTTTAATAGTAATAAAGTCATATTAAAAAGTAATTAACCTGTTGGGAAAAGTTTTTGATGCACACATGAATTTAATCTTTAGAAGGTCCCATGCATCAATTTTAACCTCTTCAGATTGTGCATTTCTGGTTGTATTTGGCAGTCTTTTTATAACTTTGACTAGTGCTTCTTAGCTTGATTCTATTCTGTCTCTTAGAAACGTTATGGTTTTGGGCTTTACTCCCAGGTCTCTGATCTACCTTTGGTTAATTTTTGTATATGGTGGGAGATGTGGATCCTGTTTCAGCTTTCTGCAGGTGGGAAGTCCAGTTTTGCCAGCACATTTGTTGAAGAGATTATCATTTCCATATTTGATAGCTTTGATTTCCTTGTCAAATATGAGATGATCATAGATAGCTGGATGTATTTCTGGGTTCTCAATTCTGTTCTATTGGTCTATGTGCCTGTCATTGTACCAGTACCATGCTGTTTTGGTTACTACTACAGTGTAGTAAGTTTTGAGGTCAAGGAGTGCTATGCCTCCAACCTCATTTTTGTTTCTCAAGTGTTTTGCTTATTCAGGGTCTCTTGGAAACAGCCCAAATGTCCAATCACAAACACATGGATGGGAAATTATGGTATATTCACACAATGGAATATTATGCAGCATGCAGGAGCAATGATTTTGTAAATTATTACCTAAGTTGAGAGGGACTAGAGAGCATTATGCTGAGTGAACTCAGTCCCACAAGAATAAATATTAAACCATTACTGTAGAATGAGTATAAGGATCCAAGAGGGGTGAGAGAGGGTAAAGGCAGAGGGATGAGGATGTGCAGGGGGAGGGGGGATTAATCATGGGGTGGTTCAGTTTGATGGCTTGGGGGTGAGGGAAATAGAAAGATTATGTTCTTGAAAACAATGTATTTGAATTTTGTAAAGAAACTAGTATAAAATAAAAAAAGTAATTGCATCAGAGAGTTGGACAATGACTAGGAAGGACAGAAGGAGAGTTGATGCCTTTGAGCTGTGGTGCTGGAGAAGAGTACTGAATGTACCATGGACTGCCAGGAAAACAAACAGATTCATTTTTTTTTTCCAAACAGATTCATTTTGGAGAGGATTAAACCAAGCTACTCCTTGGAGGCAAGGATTCTGGGGCTTCGTCTGACATACTTTGGACATGTTGCCAGGAGGGACGGGTCCTTAGAGAGGGACATCATGCTTGGGAGGGTGGAGGGATGGCGCAGGAGGGGAAGACCCTTTAAGAGATGGATTGATTCGGGATGGGTGTGTCAGAGGCAGTGCGGTTGGCACAGGACAGAGCAGGGTTTAGGGCTGTTGTGCATAGGGTCGCTATGAGTCGCAAACGACTCGACGGCACATAACAACAACAACAACAACAACAACAACAATTAACCTTATGAAGCTTAGTACCTACTGAACACATATATGCCGTGAGGAGTTAAAGTGTAAGCTTTCAAGAAGAGAGCATTGTCAGCTCATTGTTCTTGCTGTTTATCTTTATGTTTGGAAATTTAGTAATCTATCTTACGTAAGACTCTTTAAGAGATTAAACCAAAGCTTTAAACTGTGATTTAATTTTTTTTACACCTTATACAGGCTATTTTCCTTTTGTTTCCTGCTATTTTCCTTTTGTTCAGGAAAATAAATACTGAATTTATGATATATTGTTGTTGTTATGTGCTGCTGAGTTGCCTGTGACTTATAGCGACCGTATATACAACAGCTCTGAACCCTGCTCTATCCTGTGTCAACCCTATCATCTCTGACACACCTATCCCCATTACCCCAGTCACCGATTCAATCCATCTAATTGAGGGTCTTCCTCTCTTTCTCTGTCCCTCCACCCTCCCAAGTACCATGTCCCTCTCCAAGGACCAGCCCCTCCTTGCAATATGCCCAAAGTGTGTCACACAAAGCTTCAGAACCTTTGCCTCCAAGGAACAGCCTGGCTTCATCCTCTCCAGAACAAACCTGTTTGTTCTCCTAATAGTCCATGGTATACAGTACTCTTCTCCAGCATCACAGCTCGAAGGCATCAGTTCTCTTTCTTTCATTCCTAAGTCATTGTATTTAATATTGAACCGATAGAAAAATTATGTATTGTTCATTCAGAGCTAACTAGTAGCTGACCCTCCAGCTGTTTTTCAGAGGCTATAAATCACAGGTGAATTCTAAGTGTGCCTTCTGGTGGGCATTCAGTGCAGTTTCTTGCCACGAGGCCATCAGATCTCCCTTAACTAACAGAATTTTTTTAAAAAACCCCTAATTTTATCAAAGAAAGCATTGAAAATATTTAGAATGTTAGGATGTTATAAAACCTGATTGACTTTAGTGGAACTTACCATTTATTTTATTTTTATTGTGAGTTAAGTTTACAAAGCAAATCAGTTTTTCATTTGACCAAATAAATCTTCTGTGTAATATTAATTTCAATACTAACAGTGTATTGCACCTTTCCCTCTTCCTCTGTGCAATTCTATTTCCAGTAATCCTGTGGATCTGTGTCTTTCCTTTTCTGTGATGCTATGTTGATATCCCCTTCTATATTGGCTTTCCTTTCACTCAGTATATGCCTATTATTTACTAATTTTTACTCCCCTTCCCCTTCCTTCTCACCCTTGTAACCTTGCTAACCATCTAAGAATGATTGTATCTGTGTAAATCTTTCCTTAGCTTTTTAGAATAGCACTTTTATACAATATGTATTCTTTTGTGACCTGTCTTAATCCACTCAGCAAAATAGTAGCCTTTAGAAATAATATCTATGTGCCTGATAAATTCTTTCCTGTTCTTGGGTGTTGGGAAGTATTCAGGTCACTTAAAATTTAAAAGGATGGATCTGCATATTGAATGGAAAAACATGTTTTTATCGCATTAAACAGTCCTTTATTTGATTTTGATATCTTGGAGTCACATGTGAATTGGGGCGTTTTCAAATTGCAGGATGTGGAGAATGAGCTAGTAGTACAAGTTAATATGAAAAAAGAGATTGAACTTGCCATGAAATTGTTGGAGAAAGACATCCATGAGAAGCAAGATATTCTGATAGGCCTGCGAAAGCAACTAGAGGAAGTTAAGGAAATTAACATTGCAATGTATCTTAAGTTGGAGGTGAGGAGCTTTCTTTAATATTTAGAATTTCTCATTATATAAATTAAAAATTTATAGATAGAGTTTGGGTTTTCAAAGGTAAACCTTTAACAATATTAGGTTATTAAAGATGGTGTCTTTTTTTTTTCCTAAATGGAAGCCTTAGAAGTGTGGTAATGCTAAAGTTACCAAACAAAAACATTCCACGGTATCAATTTGTTTCTTAATGCCACACCATAACAGTATGAGGATTAAATCTTTTGGGAAAATTAAATCTAAACATGCAAGATGTTTTGTGAACTTCTTTAAAAGGTGTATTTCTGAGAACAATGACATTTTTTGAGAAATGCTAACATAATAATTGCTTTGAATTTTCTTAAAGTGAAATGGTTATTAAGTAGAATTGTGGCAAGGAACTCTTTACAATTTGCCTAATTTGGAAAATGAATATTTAACAAGCATTTACTCCCAAAGCCTTGAAAGATTTTTTTGTTTATTCTATCACATTTAAAGTAGCACTGTTGCTTTATGTTCTTAGAGTAATTTAATATGCAGAGTAATTCTGTTCATTTCAAACAATCTAAAGTAAAATGTTATAAGAAGCTTATAAGGATTCATGTTTATAAAGAAAACTTTCTCTAGCTTTTATGTTTTTATAAATAGGGTTCTGAAGGTGACTTGAAAGAAAAAAATGAAATAATTGCACAATTAGAAGAAAAAACCAATAAAATTACAGCAGCCATGAGGCAGCTGGAACAAAGGTACAGAATTTCCAATCTGTTTCTTTTTTCATTTCTTGCTTCCCTTTTTTTATTCAACTCTGACACCTGCCACGAAAAACCATACTTTAGGAAAAGATAGACTAGGAAACTTTTTTGTCAAAGCCCAGTAGAATTTTGCCCTTTTTAATTTAGTTATTACATGGAATCAAGTTGCTTTTTATTAGACTGATTTACTTGAAGTTGCCATTTTTTAGATTTATTAAAAAAGGACTTAATACAGGCAACTTCGTGTGGTTTAATCTTTTACTTGAAACAAATATACAAACCTTGAAAAATTAAGCATCAAACAGTTAATGATAGGATTGTCCCTAACTGACTTCCGTGCCTACTGATTTCATATCCCTGTCTGTCTGTCACCATCTCCTTATCTAAAACTAGGCATTCATAGTTGGCAAGTCTAGTTTTTTTTCTTTTGGTAGGATTTTAACCAAACCCAAGAAAGTAGTTTCCTTAAAAGGAATTGTTTTATATTGGCATTTTTCACTTTAATTGTTGGAAAATGTACTTCCATTGCCCTGTCATGTTGATGTCAACATATGTCTTATCATTGCTTTCTTTGAACCTACTTATGAAAAACATGATTATTAATGCTTTATTGACATGAATATTCTTTTATTGACATCCTCTTTCTTCTTTTTTCTTTTTTGTTTTCTTTATCCCCATTTTACATTTTGGACATCTTTATTACCTCTTTCTGTCTTTGATTTCTGTCCATTCCATATTAAGTGACAATGATTTGTTAACTCAAACTAGGACAATTGCAATGTCATTGGTTAAATGTGCCAGCAGTGACACTCAAGACCAGTACAAACTGGTCAAAGATATATCTTTCTGAAAACCACTTGTATAAAAATAGACTGAAAGAGAACCAACAATTTTATAGTATATTAAATAAAAAAGAATTTATGCTATTAATTATTCTAAAAGGGTACTAATTGAACCCTAGATGCTTGTTGAGCAGCTGCTGTGGTAAAAACACTGCCATAAAGCAGAGTGGGTGCACCTGGATTTTCAAAACTGAATTCCTCAAACCTAGTGCACAAGGATTGATTTAAGTAATGACCCTTTGGAGGTCAAGATTTTCAAATGCAGTTATATCTTTTAGCTACTTTTTGATGAAAAATTTAAAATTTATTTAAAAATAAGTTAACCTGTTGTTTCACACTGTGTTGGCACAGATAATTTTTTTCCCATTCACTGTTTGCCTAATGGCTCCCTTTACTCATTTTAAAGCTATGTTTTTACATGATTTCTAACCTGGATTGGCTATCTTCCTGTGCTTTGGCATCCTCAAATTTTAAGTTTCCCTTAGCCGTCTTCTGTGATAGCACAACTTTAAGGCCTACCTCACTCTGACTTTCATTTTATTTTCGGTAACTTTAGAGAAAAGCTTAGACCTCCCCTCTTAATTTTTAAAATTTTTTATTTAGAGGTAACTTGAATGTTACTCTCTTTTCTTTGAAAATGGCAAATATACTTCTGAAATGTATGAGAGTCAATTGGTAAGGTTTTAAGAAAGAAGAGGCCATTTTTGTTTGTGGTTTTGTTTTTGTTTCTTTTTTGTTAGTTCAACACAGATTTCTCTTATGATTCCCTACAAAGGAGTTAATGCCCTTAACATATGGAGATATTTTCTTATAAAAATATTTACATTAAATCTAAAAAATCCTCGATGGCCAGAGGGTCTAAGCACAGGGAGAAGCAGTAACTTATAAAACCAAAAAAGGGAAAAGTACATCTTAAGCTAATTTCAAAAATTCATTGATGAGGGGAAAAAATGATCTAGGAATGATGCCAACTAGCACTAAATTCTTTGAATTTTAAAGAACTCTCTCTAAACATACTAGAGTAATTTAGTATAAATTCATTAAGAACCTATAGAAAGAGCTCAGCTATTATTTGGAGTAATTGTGGGTCTTTGTTCTTGGCCTTGTAGCGCACTTGATTCCTGGCATACACATCCTAGCATAATGTAAAACAGTGTGGCTTCTTCACTTACCCTAACAGAAATACTCAGCTTTTCATGGTTTTGTAAAAAAGGCAACGATACACCTTATATAATTTGAAATTGATTTGTTATGCTCGGCATAAATATTAAAGGCTGTATTGCTTTGCATTCATTGTTAATTATGAATAAGAAATAAAACAAATTTGAAGATAGTATTCTGGGCATATTGTATGTATATTGAAAAGCACAGAACAAACAACTTTTAGACATTGTGTGGCTCTTTCACGTTTGAGTTTGTGAGTTTCCCCCCCAAACTTTGTTTTCATTTAGAAATGTTTCTATTTCCCCATTTTTCTTTTATTTGTCTTCTTCACCCTTTTACACCCTAGTTCTAGTCTCAGTTTTACCCAAAGTTAATTTGAATTACACCAGATTGCAGCAAGCAGAGAAGGCGCAAATGGAGGTTGAAGATGAAGATGAGAAATATCTACAGGAATGTCTGAGTCAGTCCGACAGTCTGCAGAAACAAATCTCTCAAATGGAGCAACAGCTGTGAGTATTTTGCTTGTGGAAAAAAAATACTTGTTTTCCCGTGACTTCTCTTCATTATCCTCCTGTTTTTTTATGAATATTAGTAGAACAACACCAAATATCTCTGTTTATCTGGGTGCCAACTCAGCTAGATTGTGGTATTTCTTTAACATGCAAGCCAGTCAGAAAACATAACAGCACTTATATTTTTATTCTCTGCATGGTTTATAGAGCGCTTCACTCATACTGTTTTGTTTTCTGTGCGTCTTAACAGCTCTTAAAGCAGATGAAACAGAACTAGGTACCATATGTCTCCGTTTTAGAGAGAAAGATTCATTGCTCACTTCAGCAACACATATATGAGAGAGAATGTAGACTGCCCTGCCGCTCGGATGTGGTGGGGCTAGAAACCACTTTGTTTCACAGTCTTAGCATGAGCGTAGTATTCTTCTGCTGTTGTGTCTAGGAACTCTACAGAACTTATGTATTTCCTGAAATAATTTTTATCTCTTTGCTCAGTCTTTTAATAGTATAGTGTGTTTAGATTATTTACATATAATTAGAGAACTCTGGTGGCTCAGTAGTGGTAGGAAGTTACATTGCTAAACCAAAGGTACCCTTGGGAGAGAGATGGGCAGTCTCCTCCTGTGTGATTTACAACCTCAAAAGCCATTGGAGGGTGAGCTGTGAGCCAGTTCCACCTTGATGGCACATAGCAACAATTACTGATATCTTAAAGCTGAATTCTACCATTTCATTATTGTCTGTTTTTAATGTTCTTCTTTCATTTTTCTTCTTAAGCATTACTTGAACAGTAATTGTATTTTGTTTTATTTATAGTGGTTTTGAGTGTATCTTTATGGGGTTTTTAAAAATATATATGTAACTTTTTACCTTGTACTGGAATCAACATTTTAGCACTTTGAGGGAAGTGCAGAAATTATGAAGTGCAGAGACCCTTTTACAATAGAATTTTCTTGAATATTTCTATACTTACCTTGAGAAATGTATCAGGCAGAGCTATCATTTTTACTTGGACCATTAAACATAATTTAGAAATATCTTTTTATTTTCCTTTCTTCTCTCCTGACATTCCATGTTTTCTTCTTTAATCATTCTGTAAATTTTTGAAGAATTTTCTTTAGTCATTCTTGCAGTGTGGATCTTCTGGCGATATATTCTCTTCATTTTATCGAAGAAGGTCATGATTTAATCTTTGTTTATGACGTGTGTTTTCAATGGATATAGAATTCTGGGTTGACAGTGGTTTTAGCAGTTGGAATTATATGTCACTTACATTTGACTTTTGTAGTTCTGATGAACCAAAATGCTGCCATTTGAATCACTGTTCTCTATGGGTGTCAAGTAATTTATTCCTGGCTGTTTGATGTTTCTAAATTTAGGTTTCTTTAAATTTATCCTGTTTGGGATTGGATCAGCTTTTTAATTTGTATTTTTTTCAGTTCTCTTTCCGCTCCCTATTTTCCCCTTTCTGGAATTCTATAAGCATGTGTGTTAGATCTTTACGTATAGTCCACACGTCCCCGAGACCTTGTTCTTTTCTTCTCCCCTTCTAGTCTAGTTTATTTCTGTTTATTTATTCTTAATAGGTTAAGGAAGAAAATTTATGATTGTTGCTTTAAAATTATTTATCACATAATTCTAAATTTTTCTTTTCCAGGTTGAGAAGTTATAATTTCCCTAGGTCCTACAGTTATTCTTCTTTTTTATCTTGGTAATTTTGGCTATGATAAGACTGGGCGTGCTAAATCCATTTTAGCAGTCCTATACAGAAGCGCTTCTGACAGGAGAATGTGGCCATTGAGTCTTTACACCAATGAGATTGTAAGTCTAGGACCACCTTTGGGGGTCTACCCTAGAGAAGGACATGTCCTAACTGCTGCTGAAATCCAGCCTCCAATCTCACTGTGAAGAGGAGCAGTGGTACCAGTGGGTGGGAGTGGAAGTCAGGGTTACCTACTTCTCAGCTGATACCACTTTGGAGAAGGAAACATACCTCCTTTTTACCAGGTGTGGTTAGAAATTATCTCAATCATAAGAACTTTCAGAAAAGGACAGTCAGCACTTTCAGGCCTTGTTTTGGCCAGAAAAATCTCAGCGTACATTTCAGCCATCATTCTTATTAATAGTGCAGAGGGCTTTGTTGTGCAAGACTAAGATATTTTTCCAGTTAGTAGAAGAGTCTTGAAACCCTGGTACTGAATCACCTTTCTATGGTTTGACAGAAGAGTAGGTAAGGCCAATAAGGTGTTTAGCTTTTTGATCCCTGACCAAAGGAAGACCCAGTTAGTGGAACTTGGACCATTATTTAATTGCCAATTAGTGTGCTTTTTTGCTGAGAACTGTTGTTTCTAGGTCTTCCTTGTTTGGCAGTGTGGACCTGCCCATTGCTTGCTTAGTCTCAGATATACCCTTTAATTGGTTAGCTTCCAAAAGTACCCTGTCGCTTAGCACATTGTACCAAGGTTTTTTCCCTTGTTACTGATACAACATCTACTTAATGACTTTAATGGTTACTATAATTCTTAGATGACAGTATTACTTTTCATTAGTTTGTAGTGAAAATTTAAAAATTATAAATTGTTGAAACCCTATCTCATTTCCATTTTCAAGATACAACCACTTTTGATAACTTGATGTGTGTCCTTCCAGGCATTTTTCTATGTTTATATAACATATATGTATACGGAATTGCCTTATGTTTGTAAAATGACAAGAATTTTTAAGTTGGCCAAGAAATTGATGCTTTGTGATCAGAAAACTCTGTGCACTGCTGAACTTGTTTACCAAAACATTCTTTTGAAAGATAATTCCTAGAGAGTTGAGTTAAAAAGGCAAAAGTAACTGACTAAGAAGATTCTTTGATTAAAGAATGTATACAACTGTCATGTGAGAAGAAAGCACCAAATTTGCATATATTTTCCATTGAAGGGTTCAACTGGAAACTGATTTGAAGATTGAAAAAGAATGGAGGCAGACTTTGCAGGAAGATCTTCAAAAGGAAAAAGATGCCTCATCCCATCTTCGAAATGAGACTCAACAAATCGCTAACCTTAAAAAAGTAAATAGGTAGAACTTTGAAAATGGTGTCTTAAAGAATTTTAATAATATAAAAATATAGTTAAATCTTAATTTAGATTTATACCAAAGAAATAGGATATATTATTGATTTTAAAAGTTATTAATAAGATCTATCATGTGGATGGAAAATAGTTCATATATAGAACTGTTATGGATGAGTATTGGACAGATGTTTTTTCTAAAATATACTTGTTCCTAATTAATAGTATGTATCTATAGTATAGAGTTTACTTTTCTTATAAATGACATTTTTCTGTCTTTCATTGTTTGGAAGGAGTTCCTTACCCTCCAGGATGAAAATGAGCACTTGAAGAAAACTTATCAGGATCAAGAACAAGCTCTTCAAGAACTTGGCAACAAGCTTAGCGAGTAATTTTTATTTTTTTCCTATTAAGTAGTCATTGACTTTTTTTTGTTTTGTTTTTTTTAAAAAAATATTTTATTTTTTTTTAAA